GAGGTCATCTGATCAGGGCTTACTTGCTATAAAACAGACTAAGATGAGAACTAAGGGTGACAGAGCTTTTGCCTCTGTGGCCCCGAGACTGTGGAACTCTCTCCCTCATACATTAAGAACTGTGGACTCGGTAGTTGTTTTTAAAAAACAACTCAAAACTCACCTTTTTAAAACTGTTTTTGGTTAAATTTCTGCCTGTTTCATATTGTCTGTTTTACCTTTTATAATTTATTATCTTATGTGCAGCACTTTGTGATTCTGTGTAGAAAGGTGCTATATAAATAAAATGTTATTTATTATTATTTATTTATGAGCACAAGGAGAGATCTGGGCCCTTGTGGACGAGACCTTCTCAATAAAAAAGTGTAAAAACATTTCACAGCCTTCAGGCGAGGGCTCGATACAGTCAGTATGTGGTGCACTAAGAACAGAGTTAATTGTTTTAAATAAAAAGTGTTTTCTTTTGGCATCTTTTACAGTTTTTTTTATATTGATGCCAACAGTTCTTTGGCATCTGGAACATCACTTGTAGTTTGTCCTTTTTCAACTCAGCTCGACGGCAGTCGCGTCTGACAGCTCGGATTTAGTTTTAGGTAGTCTGGTTTTTAAATGAGCCACAGTGACCAAAGCAGTCCGACAGGTGGAATAAAACCATGAGCTCAGTTCCTCAGTCTGGCTGCATAAAAAATCCGGGATCTTACAGACCTGGTTAAAAACTGATCTGTAAGATCCCAGAACGAATGAACGAACAGATTAACAGACTGCCCTGTAGTATGGCCCAAAAGCTGAACATACGGACAAACAAACAAAACAAAGAAAAAAAAGACTCACAGTTGATGATGACGATCTTCACCATGGTACTGAGGAAGAAGTGGAAGGGCTCTAGAGGAACTTTCACAAGGACAGCGGTGATGATGAAAACAAGCATGATGACAAAGAGACTGCCCATGACACGCAGACGCTGCGAGATTCTGACAGGAGAAGGAAAAGAGGAAGCTCAAGGACAGGCTTGGAGCTCAAGGTGAGCAGATGCTCTTTAAAGGGATATTGTGCGGTTTTGGCTCAGGCGATAGAGCGGGTCATTTACCAGTCGAATGACCCGATTAGTTATTTGGACCCTGGCTGCTGCAGTCTGCATGCTGACGTGGCCATAACCCTGATGCATCCATCAGTGTGTGTGTGTGAATTTTAGATGAGACAATAAAGTATAGAAAATACTGTTTACAGCTCGTATGAATGTGTGTGTAATTGAGTGACTGAGGTTTGTAGTAAAAATATAAGTACTAACACATTCACTAATACATTCGCTGATGTCAGCAGTGTGGCGCTTTACTCACAGTGAGAGCAGGAAGGAGTTGAGACACGTGCAGATGAGCAGTGGTAACATTGCACAGAGCGTCATCACGTTGTTGAATATGGCCTCGAGGACAGTGCGATCATCACTGGATACCTCTGTCTGATTGGCTGAAGAAATTACCACTGAGGTGTCCTTCAGACGGCTGGTGAAGTACTGACAGACAGGCAGACAGAGCATAAAGCTGCAGTGACACTAACTCCACAAATACCTTTAATGACTCAGTTTACCTGCAGCTGGTCATGAAATACCTGCAAAACACCTCTGATAAACACAGCTACAGCTACTCACTTCATCACAGCTGTTGTTTGTCTACAAACAAACTACTGTTTCAAATATAATGCAATATCTTTCAAAATAAAAATTTATTTTGAGGACAAAATAGTATGTAAGTGAAAACAGGAAGCAATGTCACACCTTGGTAGCAGTCATGAAAAAGTTCCACGGCAGCAACGTTCCCAAACCAAGCATGAAGAAAATCAGCCATACTCCAAAATACCTGCAGAGATTTTAAAAATAAAATGTTATTCTGATGCTTTCACTGTGAAAGAGTCGCAGAATAATGAGAAGTGGTAAAGGATTAAAACCAGGTATAAATATTTAACTAAACTCATCAGATCTGTTTCTGTAAGGTTTTCTGCAGGTGGATCAGCTAAGTGTCAGCTAATACTCAGGTGTGTCTGTTTTAACCCTTATCTTACATCATTTATTTACAGTCTCTGTACAATGGTAGCGCAAAGGGCCTAGCATTGGATTTGGTTGTAGCTCAGGAGGTAGAGAAGGTCATCTACTAATTATAAGGTTGTTGGTTGCTAGCCGCTCCAGTCTGCAGTCTGTATGTGTCTTGGCCAAGACACTGATACACTCATTGGCATGTGCATGTTAGACAGAAAGCATGTAGGTCTAGAAAGAGGTGCTTGTATGAATGAGGTATGTTGTATAAAGTGCTTGAGTAAAACCGGTCCATTCACAAACAGCTGCTGTCTGAACAGACAGAAAAATCAGTCCTGCCTTCGTTGTACTTGTCACGTTTCAGATCTCAAATCTTTTGGGCTACAGAGAGAAAATTCAAATGCTTCCTGAAACTTAGTTTGCTGCACTGTGATGGGTTTAAAGTAAAGAACAGTGTGTGACTGCTGCACAGTGGCTTTGGGTTCATGGTCACAGTTAGCTTACATCAAGTTGAGCAGAGACTCGTTCACTGAACTCCACCTTCATACCAACACCTGAGAGAAACGCCCTCCAAAGAGTAACCTTTGTTTTCTTACTCAGCTAAATACATATTCACTCTTACTTCAGTAAAGAATCAGAGTATCAGAGTAAAGTTGAATCAGTACTTCAGCTATTACTTGGAGTATTTTTCAACAGTAGTATGTGTACGTCTTAAGTAAGGGATGTCTGTTCTTTTGCCACCTCTGGTGGGAGCTTTTGGAGTCTGGCATAGAATAGAATAGCCTTCATTGTCATTGTACAGAGTACAACGAAATTGGAGTGCCACTCCCTTGGTGCAAGTTTCAATAATAAATATAAATGTAAAATATAAAAAGTACAAAAAAACAATCGTAAGTACTCAAACAATAGTAAGTACGATATATACAGGATAGCAGCATTAATATAATGACAGTATGAATAGCAGCATAATATAATGGCAGTGACGGTATGGTATAGCTAAGCAGGTTCAATTGTTTTTGTGCTTTACTACGGTGATAGCTCTGGGAAAGAAGCTATCCCTGAATCTGTTTGTCCTGGTTTTATGTGACCTGTACCGTCGGCCTGACGGTAATAGTTCAAACAGTTGGTTGCTGGGGTGAGAGTGGTCCTTGATGATATTGCCAGCTCTGCTGAGGTACCGAGAGTTTGCAGTGACCTCCAGGCTGGGCAGAGAGCAGCCAATGATCTTCTGGGCTGTGTTGATGACCCTCTGCAGTACTTTCCTGTCCACAGCTGAGCACCCTGCATACCATGTTGTTATGCCGTACGTTAGGATGCTCTCTATGGTGGCTCTGTAAAATGTCACCAGCAGCCTCTCCTCCAGGTTGTTCCTCCTGAGCACTCTCAGAAAGTGGAGACGCTGCTGGGCCTTTTTAACCACCGCTGTAGTATTTGCAGTCCAGGAGAGGTCATCAGAGATCTGCACGCCCAGAAACCTCATGGAGTGTACCCTCTCCACACAGCTCCCGTGAATGTAAAGTGGGGCCGGGTCTGCTCTGCCCTTCCTGAAGTCCAAGATAAGTTCTTTAGTTTTCGTGGTGTCCAGTTGGAGGTTGTTAACTGAACACCACTCAGTCAGTCTGTTGACCTCATCTCTGTAGTCCGACTCATCCCCCCTTGAGATGAGTCCAACCACTGTGGTGTCATCCGCGAACTTTATGATGGTGTTTGAGAGATGGGTAGGGGAGCAGTTGGATGTGTAGAGCGTAAACAGGAGGGGACTCAAAACACATCCTTGTGGAGACCCGGTGCTGAGTGTGATGGTGCTGGTGGGGGCCGAGTCTGACAGACTGTGGTCTATTTGTCAGGAAGTCCTTGATCCAGAGGCAGATGGGGGTGGAGAGTCCCAGGTGAGACAGTTTCTGGACCGGGATGATATGATTGAATGCTGAGCTGAAGTCCAGAAAGAGCATTCTCACATAGCTTCCTCGGTGCTCCAGGTGACTCAGCGCAGTGTGGAGCGCTATGGTGATAGCGTCCTCGGTGGATCGATTTGTCCTGTAGGCAAATTGGTGGGGGTCCAGAGTGGGAGGCAGACCGGCCCTGATGTGCGGACAGACCAGTCTCTCAAAGCACTTCATCACTACAGGCGTAAGTGCAACAGGCCTGTAGTCATTTGGGCTGACCACAGCTGTCTTCTTGGCGATGGGGATGATGGTGGAGGTTTTGAGGCAGGGCGGGACGGTGTTTGATGACAAGGAAAGGTTGAAGATTTTAGTGAAGACTCCGGTCAGTTCGTCAGCACATGCTCTGAGAACCTTTCCATGTGTTCCATCAGGACCTGCCGCCTTCCTGGGATTCACTGACCTTAGAACACAAGAGAGCTAAGAGCCGCTGCACCTGTGCGCGCCGCCATCTTGAAGATTCATTGCCAGTATGCCAGTATGAGCGATTTTGCACATTTTAGTCTATCTTGTCTGTCCTTGTCTTTAGGGGATGCTGGCCTTGACCGAGTTTCTTTGGCCTTTCCTGGTGTTTTCTGCTAGCACAACCACTCCCTGCAGGAAGGTACTCTTTGAAGTTGCCAAAGCTTCGATGGGTGCCCTTTCTGTTTTCTGTACAGCTGACAGTGAGGATATCCTAACACGTGAGGACCTTTTCACGTGTTAGGATATCTGCTAAATCCTCACCCATGCTGGTGAACCCCTCCCACTCTCTGCATGATGCAGTGTTAGGATGCTCCTTGATCCCAGCTGCCATCTTTACAATGCAGTCTTTTATAGTAATACATTCACACATGTTCCAAACATCCGTCTGTGTGCAACATCCATATTCATATACACTGCTAAATATGTTACTTGTGTGCGCGCGTGTGTGTGTGTAGGGTGTGTTATTGATAATCAGTTTATCTCTGTGCTGCAGTCACTGCTTATCGTCACCCTGCAGCCACTTTTCACTCAGTTCACAAACGTCAACAAACCACTTGAAACTTTATGAAAATGTTTAAAGATCAGAAACTAAAAACTAACCCGAACTGACCTGAACTAACAGCAGCTTTATCACATTAAAATCCGTCCCTGTTGATTTATTTGATTACAAGTTTTGGTTTTCTGATACAACAAAACTTTAACATCTGATCATCTGTCACATTTGTTATATTGATTATATATAATAACTCGTCATCAGCAGTGATGTCTACTTCTAAGAACTTCTGAACATAGTCACTGCTGATTGTTTTGTCTTTTTTATGCATGAATGTGAAAATATTCTCACTTCTTTGTTTTACTCACTTGTCTTTCGGTGAGTTGGCAGCCATTTTTCTCTTAGGAATCAGTCAAGTGAACAAATAAACTCATCAGCTGATGGAGCGATGACTTGAAGGTCTAAGGTGCACCCCGTCGGACGGTCTGGAGGAGGAGCAGGAGGTGGAGCTGTGTGTGACACAGATAAGAGTTCCAGAGTTATGGTTAAAGAGTATCTGTTAGCTTTACTAAATAGTTTGTTTGAAACATCCCTTTAAATTCCTGAAGCTGTGATGTTGCTGACCCAGAGCCTTTCAAAAGAAAAGAAATTAATCCAAGACTTTCAAACACAGTTTGGTACAAACTGAGAGAATCATCGTGATGCAAAGCAGCAAACTGAATACTGATTGGTTGAAACACTATCAGGAGTCTGAAAACAGATGCACTGTGAACATGTCTTGCTCACGTTCATGTTATTTCTCACAGCTCGTTTGGTGTCTTTGAATATGTTGAGTCATTAGGGCATTGTTGTTCCTGCTTTGGTTTCGTTGCCTTGTGTTTCGGTGTTTTACTCTTTATTGTTTCTTTATTTGACCTTTGGTGGTATTTCTGTCATCTTCTATGTGTGTATTATCTTTCGGTCACTTCCTATTTTACTTTGAAAGTTAGTCTTTTTTGTGTCCTGTGTTAGTTTTGCTCCCATCTTTTATCGCTCTGATTCTTCTCACCTATTCTCAAACCACCTTCTGCGTCTTACAGCTTTGGTTGGATTTGTGTATTTTTTTTTGGTGTAATATCCAGCCCTTGCTGATTGTGACCTACACTCGTTTTCACACCTTGGCTCGTGTGATTAGGTAGAGGATCAATAGGGGGTCCACGACCCTCTTATGGGGACACTCCCATAACACTTAAATACCTGGGACTCTCCACCAGTTGCTCTTAGAACTGAAGAAGCTTCTCGGATGTGAAACCTCTTCAAGGAAATGTAAAGAAGTCTGGATGCTTTTCTTTCCGAGCTCCTTAGACTACGACGTACGATGTTGTGGATGAGTTTGGTTCTTGGTGTGATCAGTTATTCTTAAAGATCAAAACCTTTGAAACTAAGGACATGGTTATTGACTTCAGGAAGCCATCCCCCATCCTGCACTGAGACTGCTGCCATTGAACTGGTGGATAGTTGTAAGAATTTGGGGGTTGTCCTTGATAAGGCTCTGTTCTTTGAGTCACATTTTGATTCCACAGTGAAAAAAAGTCCAACAAAGCTGTACTTTTTAAGGAGTGTTGAACATTTCATGTGAAATGATGACCCTTTTTTATAAAGTTTTGTTGAATCAGTTTTAATGTTTTGTATCATTGCTTGTAGGGCTGTTCGATATAACGATATATATCGGATGATGATATAAAAACTTCTATCGTTTCATTTTACGCTATCGTTTGTTTTGTGGTGTCGCAAAATAGACTGTTTATGTTCCACATAAACCTTTCACAATAAAGCTCAAGATCCCATTGAGACTTTTCAAAATAAACTAAATGAGAAGCAAAAAAAGAGCCGTCAGGTGCTAAAAAATAAACCTTAGACTCAAACGTTAGAACAGGCTTTTCCCCGCAGCACGTCGTGTAATAAATACTCACAAAGAAAACGGCGGCCGTTACTG